CTCCAGGGCAGGGCCAGGCGGGGTGTGTCTTGGCTGGTGCCTGCTCTGATCTCCAGGGCCTTCCTGCTGAAGCCTGGAAGCTTCTTTCCCTAGAGCTCTTTAGAAGGGGGTGGGCAGGGCTGGAGATTATAACAGTCTTTGCTCCCCCCTCCCCCCCACACATACATATCTGCCATTCTGGTCAGACGGGTGAGCCCTGGTGACTGTGTATATCTCTGCAAGGATGGAGGAGGAGAGGGGCAGACATGTTGACCTGACGTTGATGGGGTGGGGGTGGGGTAGTCCAGTAGAGGAGAAAGAGGTCTAGATGGGGAGGGCCAGAGACTTGAATTCTAGTCTCAGATCTGCCGCCAACTCTCTGTGTGATCCTTCTTTATCTCTGGCTGGGCTACAGTTTCCTTACCTAAAATAAAGGAGAATGGGATGAGGTGATCTCTCTGACCTTTACCAGATCCAGCCAGCTATGATGATAAATTGCCCTCCGTCCTGGCAGGACCATGGAGGGAATTGGGGACCATGGAAAAGATTTCTCCCCTTCCCCCCCCCCTCCCCCCCCCCCCCCCCCCCCCGTTTTGTCCAGTGATCAGGTCCCAGCCTTCCCTGTCCATCCAGTGGTCTGGCCTGTTCCTTGAGAGTGACTGGGATTCTTTCTCTGCTTCTCTGTCCTCCTTCTGAGCCCTTCTCACAGTCCCAGGCCAGGGACAGATAATTGCCCTGGTTCCCCCGAGGGCTCTGAGTGCTGCCACTGCCCCGAGAGGGGGAGGGGCGAGCTGTGCCTCCTGCCTCTGGGCTGCAGCTGTGTGGGCTGGCTTGTCCTGTTTCTCTTTTGTTCGGCTGGTGCGTGCGCCTGTTTATCTGGCTGGCTAGAGGAGGTGTCGGGGGCAGGTTCCCCCCTGGGGGTACGTGAGTTGGGAGGGTTGGGGTTGTTGTGCCAATGTGTGGTTGTGTGTGCGCCTGCGAGGAATGAGAAGGGCCTCATGACACTCTGGGGGCCTCCCTGTCTTCTGACCTACTCCCCAGAACCTTCCTTCCTCCCAAGGCCCCTCTGGCAGGGCAGGCAGGGCTGCTATCAGGCTTGGAATTTTCTTCTCCCCAATATTGATGCAGTCCCAGGGGTTTTCCTAGGGGAGGCAGCTTCACCATTAAACCTAGATGTGGGTGGGGAGGGGGCACTTAGTAGAAATTTACATCACTTGTTCTAATGAACTTGTTTTTCCTTCTCCCTGTCTGACCCTACCTGGCTTCTCCCTTTCTCTCCTGCTCCCTTCAACCCTATGCGAATTCATCTTTGCTGTCCCGCCCCTTCTCAATTTCTTTCCATTTTATCTTTTCCATTTTCTCTTTCTCCTCTTTTCTCTGTTTCTCTCTGCCAATCTTTCTGTCTCTCTCCCTCTTTCACCTTTCTTTCACCCTCTCTCTGTCTTGTCATCCTGATGTCATTCCCCCATGTCCCCTTTACTCCTGTCTCCCCACAGCGGTACAGCGGGGCCGGATCCCCCACACGCACTCGGGGGGCAGCCCCACGGCATTGGCTGGAGGTGGGGGTGGGGAGTACTTCAATGGGCAGCCAGTATCAGAGCTGATCTCGCAGCTGCTCCGGGCAGAGCCATACCCAGCGGCCCGCTATGGCTCCCAGTATGCCCAGCAGCAGGGCAGCGTCATGGGCATCGACAACATCTGTGAGCTGGCCGCCCGCCTCCTCTTCAGTACTGTGGAGTGGGCCCGGAACATCCCCTTCTTTCCCGAGCTGCCCGTGGCAGACCAGGTGGCCCTGCTGAGGCTCAGCTGGAGCGAGCTCTTCGTCCTCAATGCTGCGCAGTCTGCCCTGCCTCTGCACATGGCCCCGCTGCTGGCTGCAGCCGGTTTCCACGCGGCGCCCATGGCCGCCGACCGTGTGGTCTCCTTCATGGACCAGATCCGGGTCTTTCAGGAGCAGGTGGACAAGCTTAACCGGCTGCAGGTGGACTCAGCAGAGTACAGTTGTCTCAAGGCCATCGCCCTCTTTACGCCAGGTGGGTTGGTTTTGGGCTCCTGGGGCTGCTCCCTGCCCTTCCTCTCCACCCCCCCACCCCCTGACCTTAGCATCGGCCCCAACCCAGGGATTCCGTGTACCTGCATCCAAGGGCGTTCCATACCCTGGCTGGGTCCATCAAAAGCTCGTCCCCCCTTGCTGCCCCTTCCATATGCCTTGACCCCCTGGGGACTCCAGATCTCAAACCTTCTCCCCGATGCCTTTCTTTACCTTCTACCTTTTTCTTGGGGGTTGGGGAGGGCAGAACTTCTGTTCATGCTGCCCTGTCTGGTGGCCAGAGGCTGCCACCCCTTAGTGGCAGAATCCACCTTGGGGTGAGGGATGGTTCCAGGGCACCTTTGTCTGTGGGGGTGGGGAACTCCAGGCCCAGCAGCTGACAGGCTGGGGCTTGGGCCCCGTGTCCCTGGCAGATGCCTGTGGCCTCTCCGACCCAGCTCACGTGGAGAGCCTGCAGGAGAAGGCGCAGGTGGCCCTGACGGAGTACGTGCGTGCCCAGTACCCCTCGCAGCCTCAACGATTTGGCCGCCTGCTTCTCCGACTGCCCGCCTTGAGGGCTGTGCCCGCCGCCCTCATCTCTCAGCTCTTCTTCATGCGCCTCGTGGGCAAAACGCCCATCGAGACACTCATCCGGGACATGCTGCTGTCTGGCAGCACCTTCAACTGGCCCTACGCCGCTGGGCAGTAGGGGTCTGGCCTGGCAGGGCCCTGCTCCGCCTCTGCTGCCCTGTCTGACCCAGGCCAAGGCCATGCCTCAGGCTCCCCCTCGGTCACATGGGGAATGTGGCCTCTGCCATTCGCATGTTGGGACCAGCGCAGGGGTCCACGCATCCTCCTCGACCCTGGGGACTGCATCGACACTTAAGACTGGTTATTTTTTAGAAGGCAAATGAGATCACTTTGTCTTTTTTTTTTTTTAATGACAACATAAAACCAAAAAGACCCTGCCTCCTTCCCTCGGACTGGGACCCTGGTGGCACAGATGCCTCTCCTTCACCCTTCGGTGCCCTCCGTCCATCTGTGCTCAGGAACCAGCTAGCCTTTGAAGCCTCCTAAGGGGGAGGGAAGCCTGCAAGGTGTGGGGATGCCCTAGCCCACCTCCTCTCAACCCTTCCTTGCCTCCCCAGATGCATGTCCTGGGCCATATCCCAGAGCTACCAAGGGTGGAGAGAATGTAGCTGGCACAGGGAGGCCAGGTTCTCCTGGCAGACCCCAGGGGCTGAGGCCAGGTTGGCAACTGGGGACAGGAGTAACTCAGCCTCCTAGTTCCTTCTGCTTGCCAGGTGGGGGCAGCGAGGAGAGAGGAGGGAGGGTGGCCCCTGGCCTGGGGCAGGAGCCACGGGGACGTGAGTATGTATAATTTAGATTGATTCTCTAAAAATATAATCCACGCTGGACACTACAAAATGAATGACCTAAAGCCAATAAAGATGTTTCTTACCACAGGGGTGACTCCTTCATTGTTAGGAGGCGGGGGCGGGGAGGATAGAAGACTGGAAGGCCTCCCTCTTAGTCAAATCATGGCCCTGAGCATCCTGATCTTTGACACGGATTCTATTAATCCTGCCGGGCTGTGGAAATGAGTGTCCTGTCAGGGAGGACAGGAGAGGGGCCTGTGGACCCTGGACCAAGGGCCTGGGCTGCAGAAGCAAACCTGGCTTCTTCAGGTCCTCGCTCTCCCTGCCTGGTGCCTCGTGTGACCTTGGCCAGGGTGGGGCCTATGTTTTATCTGCCACATGTGGATGGTTGTCCCTGCCCTTTTCAAACTGAGACCCAGCCACAGGCCATCCCACCTGCTGTGCCTGTGCCAGTTGCAGGAGGCTTGGGGACAGATGCAGGCCCAGTGACTGGCTCTCAGCCAGTTAGCTTTCCTCCTCCCCACCCTTTCCCCCTCTTCTCTTTTGTACCATCTTTGCTGTCACCTCTCCCTCCATCTTCTCTTCATGAAAGCAATGGTGTGGTTAGAAGACCAGCCGTGGGACCTTTGTTAAGTCACCAAGCTCTCCGAGTTCCATGTTCTACATCTGTAAAATGAGAGGGTCCCTTCCATCTCTAAATTCTGGGATCTCCTCTCTCGGCTCTCGCCTCCATTACTTTTCTTACTAATGTTCCCAAACACCAATCTCCAAACTTTACCCAAACTTGCTGAAGTCCCATCTGACACCTCTTAGGGTGAAGGCCCCTCTCATTCCCCCGAAGAGATTGGGTGGTGTAGAATTCAGAGGTTCCCAAACTTATTTGGCTTACCACCCCCTTTTCAGAAAAAAATTAGCCTCCCCCTGGAAATCTACATTCTTTAACTTTTAAATGTTTGTTTGGTTTTTTTTTTAATTTGTCACCCAAGACTACTACCACCCCTCCCCCATTGTTCCAGCACCCCCCAGGGGGCGTTATCGCCCACTTTGGGTACCTATGGACTCTAGATGATCTGGGTTGGAAGGCCAAAGAGAGGAGACACAGTTATTGAAAGTGCTGTTGGCGACAGAGACTCCCTGCTTCTCAGGTCTGAAGGGAGTGTAGGAGGGCCAAAGCAGCCTTGCCTCCTTTTTCCTCCCCTGACCCCGGCAGGGATGAGGCAAAAGTAGGGAGTTCGCCTTGTGTGTCTTAGCCACTGGAAGAGAGCTTCAGGTGAGGTCCAGCTGACAGGAGCTGAGATGTACCAGGGGCCCCATGGATTCAGGGTAAGAGAAAGACTATTGCTCCAGTTTCTCTCCCCTCACCAATGGAAAGGCTAATGAACTTCTGGCAGGGCCATCCATTTCTTTCATGCCCCCATCTGATTTCTTCCCAGTTCTTGAGAATTTCTGTCTGGTTTGGATATTTTGCCCAAACACCTGTCGTCTGGGGGATACGCTGCCCGATTTCTTGGAGGCCTGCCTTCTTGAGTTCTCAATAACCAGGGCAGCCAGACCTTAGGGACTGAGGCCACCTGCTCCCTCCCCCCCTTCCCCCAGCAGGGAAGGCCCCTTCCCACAGAGCAGAGCAGACTTTATTGGTGTATACATCAGTGTCAGGCTGCTAAACCTCCCCGTCCCACCCTCAACCTTCCTCAGGGCTGGGGCCACCCTTCCTGGCTGCCATTGCCTCTCTCCTGGGCACTGGGGGACTGTGGCTCCTGGCGCAGCAGAGCAGTTCATAGGAAAACTTGGGGAGGCTAGCTCCCCACTACGCAGGGTGGGGAGGGCAAGATCCATGGCACCCAATCTTTCCCATGGCGCGTAAAGAGACGGTTCCTAGACCAAGGGCCTGCGAACCCAGTTTCCAGAGGGCCTGACTCTCCTCCTCTTTAGTTTCGGACCTGATCGTAGGCCCCAACCATGCGCTTGATATGGCAAAGCTTGTCTCGAAGGCTCTGGGTCTCCAATTTCTTGCTTTGGTATTCTGGACTCTGGTGGGAGGGAGAAGGAAATGGACAAAATGGTCAACTGATGAACCAGCCTTGGGGCGGGGTACCCCATGTCCTGCTTGTGTCTTCTTTTCCCAAACCCCAGAAATACCTCCCACTGGGGAAGGGGAGCTCCGAGCAGCCTAAGCCTGATGCCCTGGTACTTTTAGGGAAGGGACATGCCCACTTCCCTGGGGAAACAGAGGTGAGGGGCTGCCAGGGATAATCTTGGGCATCTTACCCTCTTCAAGTCCTTCAGCCGGTTGTACTCCTCTGCAACACCCTAGAGAGGAAGGAATGGGGGCCCCTTCAGATTCCACCAGGAAACCCCCCTTCTGTCTCTCTATAATAGTTCACCTCTCATAACAGTCCTAGGAGATAGGTCATGTAAATATTACCCCCATTATGAATCCCTATCACCTGCTGGGCCCACTCGGCCACCCTGGCCATCTCTAGTCTAAGCCATGCTTGCCCGCAGGACCAGCCTCCTCTCCCTGGAGCTCTGACCTCCACCTCTGGGGCCCTGGGTTCTGATGAGCTTTCCTCTTATTTTGCTTGGTCCAAGGCCCATGATCCTGGTCATCTCCCATCTCTGAGCTGTGCCACTGTGGGCGCACCTGTACCCCTACCTCCTTCTAACTCTTGGGTCATCTTCCCCCATTAGAATTGAAGCTCCTTGAAGGCTGGATCTAACTTGCTGATTTGTAGCAAAGTACTCAGCACATAGTAAGCATTTAACAGATTCTTTTCCCTTAATTTGATGGATGAGGAAACTCAGCCTTGGAGAGCTGAAGGGGCCAAGGCCCAGCTGGAACCCAGGACCCAGCGCCCTGGCTGTCTACAGCTCTTCCTGTCACACCACAGCCTTCCTTGGGTCCTCATTCTTGCTCCCTCCCACGTGGGATGTTGCTTATTAGGCCTTCCTGACAAAGGAAGCTGAGGGGCCGTGGGATCTGGCCACAGCCACAAACCTCTCCACCAGCGTTCTGACCTGGTGGGCAGAGGGTAGGGGGGACTCATCCCTGGGCAACCTTTGGGAATCCTAGTGGGTTGGGAGAGGGAAGGGTCTGAGGTGGGAGAACAAAGGCCTCTTGTGAAGTGACACCAGGCCTGGGCAAACCAGTTCTCTGGGCAGCTAGGGGAGGGGCTGAGCTGGCAGCTTCCTGCTAAGGTCCTGCCTGGCCTTAGGGAAGCAAGAGGAGGCAGGGCCAACCCAGATAGTGCAGAGGAGAGGGCCTGAGGGTGCAGGTGAGAAGACCACCGGGGTTCTGGTCCCATTCCTATCACTCTGGTGTTACCTGGAACAAATCACTTCCCCTCTCTGGGACTCAGTTTCCCTAGCAGTAAAATAAAGGATTGGACTATATGGGAAGGGAGGGAAAAGAATAAGCATTTATTAAGAGGCTACTATGTGCCAGGCACTGTGTAAAGTGCTTTGCAAATATCTCATTTGATCCTTAGATGGTTTCTGAGGTCCTCTCTGGTTTTGATATTCCATGTTTTATGTTCTCTGAGAGGTTTAGTGGAAAGAGTCCTGGATTCCATTAGGATCAGGAGAGACCGGGGATGGAATCCAGTTTTACTAGCTGTTTGACCAAGGGCAAGTTATTTTTCTGAGCCTCAGTTTCCTCATGTGCAAAATGGGGATATTGTGAAGAATGAAATAGGATAATGTATGTAAAGCACTTTAAAACAGCTGTACAAGTGCCAGCTAAAAAAAGAAAAGAAAGTGCCTTCTAGGAGCTCTGATATTCTGGGGTGTAAGGGCCCTCCCAGCTCTGACATTGTGTATTCTGACGATCCTCCTAGTCCTGACTTTCTGTGTCCTAAAGGTCTTCCGGATAGCTCTGACATTCAGTGTTCTAAGGGCCCTCCCCCTTCTGACATTCTATATTCTAAGGGTCCACTCAGCCCTGACTTTCTGTGTTCTAAGGGCCCTCCCAGCTCTGACATTCAGTGTTCTAAGGGCCCTCCCCCTTCTGACATTCTATATTCTAAGGGTCCACTCAGCCCTGACTTTCTGTGTTCTAAGGGCCCTCCCAGCTCTGACATTCAGTGTTCTAAGGCCCCTCCCAGCCCTGACATTTTCTATTCCAAGGAATCTCTCTCCAGCTTTGACATTCTCTATTCAAAATTTCCTTTAGAATCTGCGGTTCCCCATTCTAAGGTATTAGAAGAATGCTTGGGAGAGCCTCTAGCCTGGGGTGTGTAGGACCTCCTTTCAGCTGCAGAGAGAATGAAATGATGGCTGGTCCCCTTGACCCCCCAGTCCCTGTCCTGTGCTACCCCTTCTGTTCCCTGTTCCTCCGGGCCTTCACCTGGTAGCGTAAGCTGCCTTCCGGGAGGCAGTCCAGCTCGTGACTAAGCTGCCTGAGCTGAACTCCAACGTCGTCCATCTCTGAGCACAGGGCTTTGTACCGCTGAAGGTCACTGTTGAACTCTGCCTTGTACGTCTGGCGGATGGCATCGGAGATGATAGGTGGATAGAGGCTGCAGGCAGGGCAAGGGGGTGTGGGTACTGGCTGGGGCGGGAGGAGTTTTGGAGCCTAAGGCTCTACTTTGCTCCCTCCTCCTCTCCCTGGCTTCCCAGGCATTTGCATACCTGTATATCCTACAGGTCTAGGTGCCCATATGCCAATAAGGGAGAGCCAATGGCCACCAGGTTCTGAGGAGCGCCTAGATTGGTATTCTCTATCAATGGCATGGAGGTCTACACAGAGCCTGGGGGGAGAGGAGGGGAGGGTACCTCCCCCTCCTGTGCCCTCTCTCAGGAGAAGCACCTCTGGATGCTGGGGGACTGTGGCTAAGCCTCTTGAGGGCCCACAGCCCAGTGGAAACACCTGGCCTCACCTGGCCCAGTCATCCGGGTTCCGCTCTTCACTGGATTCTGCGGCTGTGGTATAATCTGTCTCGTACTGCGCTTCCTCCAGGCCTGTTGGACCAACTCTTTGGCGCTGGCCCCGCCTGGCGGGGGGCTGACTCACGGGCCCTTTGTCTTTTTCTTCTGGAGGATTGGGCCCTGTAGGAGGTGGGGGACTGGGAGAAGGGTCAAAGAATGCTGAGTTCTTGTGCCCAAGTTGTGGATTGTGGGAGGGGGTAGAGGTTCTGGCCTTTAAAGTGCCCACCCCCAAGGAGCCCATGCCCACCTGGGGCTGGAAGGGGTTGGGTGGCCATAGCCGTTCTCCTGGGCTGGCAGGAAAGCACTGGTCAAGGGACTGGTGGGCTTCTCTGAGTATGCCAACGTGGCAGTCTCATCCTGAATGCCGGCATCACCCGATACATTCTTCACCTAGAAACGATAAAAGCAGTAAGAGCTCCTATTTTGATAACTCTTTAGAATTTAAAAGGCCCTATCCGCTTAGTAACCCTCTAGTTGTTACTATGCCCATTTCACATGCACATTGAGGCCCAGAGGAGTTAAGCCATAGAATCATAAAATACCAGAACCAGAAGGGATCTTAAAACTCAGAACCACAAACAGAACATAGGAGTTAGAAGAGATCCTAAGAATGGAGAATGTCAGAGCTGAGAGGGAGCTTAGAGATTGTTTTCCTTCATTTTGCTGGTGAGAAAACAGAGTAGAAAGAAATGACTTGCTCAAATCTTCCAACTGGTCCTTGAGGCTAGAACTTGGACCTTCTGACTCCAAATCCAGGGTTCTAGTAATACCCCTTAGGCAGCCAGGCAAGGGGATGGCATGGAGATTTGGCTCTTTGGGGTGAGGCTTGCAGGTTCCTGTCTGGGTGGGTACAATAGCCCCTGGCAGATGAGTCAAAACTGAGCCAGCCTGAAAAGAGCAGGTGGCACTGGGTGCTTGGGGGCAGAAGACTGGTCTATATCACCTCTCAGATCCCTTCCAACCCTAAGAGGTGCAAGTCTGAGAGCTGTGGCCAATAAGAGGGGGGATAATCCTCAGGCCTTAGACCTGGCACTGTGTGCCCGTGGGATGTTTTTGTGAGGGGGTGGGGTGCGGCATTGACTTCATACTCCACTGGTCAAGGACCGGTCTGAGGCACTGAAGTCAGTCCCAGCTCCTCCAGGCCCTTCTCCCCTGGCTTTTGCCTCTTTCTCCCTGACTCTGCCAAGGATTTGAGACCATCAGTCCTCCTGAAGGAAAGTGGGAGAGCAGGGGGAGTGGATAAGATTAAGGGCCCCATGAAGGCAGTATGGTCCAGCAGAAAGAATGTTGGATTTGGAGATTGGGGTCCAGTCCCTGCTCTGAGAGTTGCTATCTAAGTGAGCCTGAGGAAGTCAACTCCTGTCTCAGTTTCTTCGTTTGTGAAACGGGACTAAGAACAATAAAGCTTCTAGCCTGGAAGGGAATTGTGGGTCAAGCAATTTGTGAATTGTCCTATAAATGTGTGTGTGAGGAGGAGGGGAGTTCTATCAGGTTCTCTCTCCTTCAGATCTTTCTCTTTCCTCCTTCCTCTCTGCACTATGTCCCAACCCCCACCCCCACTCCAAACCATAAACCTTAGATTTCAATCAGCCCTCCCCCACCTTTTAAAAAACACGTCCTGGGTTTACTTGAATTCAGAGACACATCAAGGACATGACTGTCTTTGCTCCCCTACCTATGTGTACTTTTAAATTCTCCCAGGAGGAAACATCGCTTCCAGGCATGGGTAACCCTCTGGTTACACAAAGCACAAAGAGTCTGTCAGAAAAGACCTCGGATGCAATGGAGTCTGTCTTTATAATTTAGGGATCCTCACTTCTGGAGTGCTGTCCCCAGTTCCCTGCTCCCCAATCTCTGCTTTCAATCTTCCTCATTTAGCAGAAGAGGAAGCACCTCCACCTTTGCCTGGAGAGGTTAAATGACTTATCCAGAGTCACACAGTGACAGCTAGTCGGTGGCAGAGTTCAGATTTGAATCCAGGCTCTCTAGCCACTGAGCCACATGACCTCCCTGCTCTCTGACCACAGCAGATTTATTTCCTCCCTACTCCATGTAATAATAAAAGCAGCTTTTGTTTTTATAGTCCTTTAAGATTGGCCAAGTGTTTTATTTGTTTGTCCTTTATAAAGATCCTGTGAGGCAGGCACCAGAGCTATTATTATCCCCATTTTACAGCTGAGGAAACTGAGGCTTGATGAGGCAAAGAACTTGCCCAAGGTTGAACAGAGAGGGAGTGTTGGGGTTGGGACTCAAACTGAAGTCTTCTGATTCTGTGGACCTTCCTTTTTTTTGCAGTGAGAACTCTGCAAAATGTGTATCTGAAGTGAGGGGAATGGGGTTGGAATCCTGAATCTGGTCACTTACTAGCTCTGTGACTTTAAGCAATTCCCGTAACTTTTCTGGGCTTCAGTTTCCTCAATTGTAAGTTCAGAGGGTCAGGATAGATGACTTCTACTGCCCTTTCCAGCTCTAAAATTTATGATCCTCTGATCCTCTGCTTCTCCAAATTCTTCCAAGGCCAGCCTCCTCCAGGAAGTGTCTCTGACCTCTTGGCTCCACCTCTGACCTCCTATAGCTCTGGGTTAGAAGCTCACCCCTTCATCCTCCATCACACACTGACTTCCTGTGGTGTATGTGAATCCCATTGTCTTGTCCGGGATGAGACACCCCTCTTCCCTATCCCCATCACTCCAAGTCATAGCATTGGGCCCTGGGGAGATTGGGGACGTCAGGGTGGATTGACCTGATCTCTGTCTTCAGGCTGCCATGTGGAAGTGGGAGTAGACTTACTCTGTCCTTTCTCCCTACCCCGTAGGAGCCGTGAGCCGTGAGTGAAAGCTAGGCTTGCTGCAGAAGAACCTTCTAAACAATGAGAACTGTCCAAAAAGTGGAGCGGGCTGCTTTGGGACACGGAGATCTCCCCCTCCCAGGACGGCCGCTTGTCAGGGGCGTTGTCCAGAGCATTCCTGGACAACGCCTCTCGGAGCAATCCGGGACTACTTGGCCCTGAGAGGCTGTCTGCCCGCGAGTGGGGACTCCCCAGCATGTGTCCCCTCCCCAGCTTACTCCCACCCCATGGCCGGGGAATGACGGCTCTCAAGGGCCAGGCAGCATGACAGCAACATGCCCCACCTTTACCTGTTTCTTCCTCTAGCTCTGCCCACTGGCCCACTGACCAGGTTCTAGGTTAATCATTTTCCATACAGAAACTCAGACTATCTTGAGCAAACAGGGAATGGAGGGGTGGGACCCATGTGGACAGGCCTGGGACCCTGGCACCGAGCTCTCCACTGAGGTTGGCTGGCACCGAGGCCAAAGCAGGCAAATTGGCTCCAGGGGGAGGAATGCTGAAGGTACCTTTTCTCTCTGCAGGCAGCATGGCAAGAACCGATAAAGAGCTGGTCTTGGATCCATCGAAAGACCCGGATTCAAGTTCTGACATCTATTGGCTTTGTGACCCTGGGCAAATCATTTAACTTCTCAACACCCTAGGCAACTCTCGGAGACTAAAATTAAGAACCTGTGTTGGTATAGGGAGTCTCCCCATTTGGGAGTTCCCTATATCAATGACATCACAGGGCCTGTTCCTATTCTTAGGATATTGCTAATAATAATAGCTAGTATTTGTGTAGCAAAGCAAATAACAAATATTATTTCATTTGAGCCTCATAACAACCCTGGAGGAAAGGTGCTATTATTTCTCCCACTTCACAGATGAGGAAACTGAGGCAGACAGCAGTTAAGAGACTCGTCCAAGGTCACACAGCTAGTAAATGTCTGAGGCTGGATTTGAACTCAGGTCTTTCTGAACCCAGTTCAAACTCTACACATTGTACCATCTCACTTACCTTATTACCTTTTCTTGTTATTATTACCTTCATCCTGAGATAGATAAGTACTAGTATTCTCACCCCCCCCCCATTTTTGCTGATGAGGAAACCAAAGCATAGAAAAGAAAAATGATTTGCTCGAGGTCATACAGTTGAGAAGTGGGGGAAGATAGGGGCTTGGAACCTAGATCTGACTGGAATAGAGAAAAGAACATTAGTCTCAGTAGTAGAAGATCTGGGTTCAATTCATGGCTCAAACATTTATGATCTTTGTGACTTGGGGCAAATCACTTGACTTCTCTGATGAGATCCCTCCAGCCTGCTTACCCACTCCTCTCCACTGCTCCCCCCAGCCTGCTTACCCACTCCTCTCCACTGCTCCCCCCGCAGCTTGCTTACCCACTCCTCCAAAGAAGTTTTTGGGCTTCCCATACTTCCATATCTTGGGACGGGTCTTCTGGGCGAAGTAACAGATGACACAGAAGAGGACCACGGTGAGGAAGCCACAGACTATGGCCACGGCCTGGGGGAGGGGGAAAGGGGAACATAGGCTCAGAATTGAGGCTACCCTCTGGACTTCCAAGCATGCGGTTGGTCCTTGTTAGAGATGGCAGACACCCATTCTGGGACTGGAATTGGCAGAGCTCCTTCAGACTCCCCATCTCCAGGTTCCTGCACTTGCTGGCGCCCAGGGAGCTCTCATCGTTTCCCACCTGGCTACTTTCCTGGCCTTTAGCATCTCCAGAAGCTCATCATTCTGAAGATGAAGTCAACTCGGAAACTCCCATCTCCTCAGATCATTTCCCACCTCAGCTGAATGCCTTCCTCTGGCACCACTCCCCCCGACCCCGGCCTGCCTGGGAACCCCTCCCGGAGCCCAGCTTATGGCTTTCTTTGTATCCCCACTGCTTATCACAGTGCCTGGCACATAGTAGACATTTAATACATGTTTGTTGACTGACTCTGATTTTGAATTGGTCTAGAACCTCTGGCTTCTCTCTCTGACCTGAACTTTCTCACACAAAAGGCCATACTGTGTGACTCCTGTAGAATATGTAGGGTCCCTAGCAATGAGAGGGAAGGACATGGGTACAGAGAGGCAGACCAGATAAGCAGATGTGTCACCCTTGAAGGTACAAGGAGATCTTAGGAATGGGGGAATTTCAAGCAGGTCTGGCAGGAGGGGTGGCTAAAGACGGCTGCTCAGCATGGGGCTCTGGCCTTGGATTTTAGGGGAGCAGGGAGAGGCTAGCCTCAGACACTTGGGGAGTACTGGTTGGGTATTTTAAATGGCAGTTAGGTTGGTCTGCTCCACCCCCCAGCCCCCAATTGTGGGAAAGGCAAATGGGGGAGGGGATTTTTGTGTTGGGTCCCAAGGTTCTGGAAGGCAGAGACTTCACCTTCAATATAATTACCATAGCTGTAATAATAACAACAATAATAGCCAAGACTCATATAGTGACTTAAAGTTTGCAAAGCACTTTGTGGACTTTAGCTCATTGGATACTCCCGACAGCCTTGTGAAGTAAATGTATAGCTATTATTACTCCTGTTTTATAGATGAGGAAACTGAGGCTTAGAGAGATTAAAGTGACTTGCTTCTGGTCACATAACTGATAAGTGTCAAAGGTGGAATTTAAACCCATTTCTCTTCTGTCTCTAAGTCTGGCATAGTGGATTAGACACTGGCAGTCAGGAGAACTTGGCTTCAGATCCTGCCTCAGACACTTACTATATGGCCTTGAGATAGATCTCTTTGTGCCTCAGTTTCCTCATCTGTAAATGACTCCGTGCTTCCTTCCAGCTCTAAATCTATAATCCTATGAGCCATGCTGCCATGTCTATCGCCGTCATTCTTGTCATTATCACTCTTATCATCTCCATCATTGTCATGACCATCATGGCCACTACCTCCACCATCTTCCTTCTCTTCCTCATCACTGCTAGCAGCAGCATCGCCATCATCTTTTCCCTCCTCATCTTCTTCAACATCACCGTCTCTATCACTGTCCTCCTCACAGTCACCGTCATCCCAACATTACCATCTCTATCATCACCATTACAGACCCCGTCACCGTCCTATCTCTGTCACGATTACCATCAATACCACCATTCTTGCCACATCATCAGCACCATTGTTATCTACACTGTGGTTTTCAGATCAGATTCAGAGGTTTTCTAGCAGTCATCTAGACCAAACCCTTTGTTTCGAAGCTGAGATTTACCTTATTTTCACAATTCAGAAGAGAGCTGTCACACTGATAGACATTTCTGTACCAACAACAGATCATCATAATGTACTTGGATGATAGGGACAATGTTCTCATAGTATGCTGATATCATATTCAACCGTGCACACAGAATAAGCACATAATAAGAGTGATGACTGGGTTTTGTACACCTGTCATATAATCAAGAGATTCCCATCTCACTTGTGGGTAATTAGGATGGCTGTGGCTAATGTCTATGTTTTAGCATGTTAAGTTCAGATTGAGTGAGATAGAAAAGTCTCATAAGAACTGTGATTAGAATACCAACTCTATTAATATAATAATGTTATCATTAATTGTTAAAAATATTATTGATAATAGTATTCATAATAATTACCATTAATATAATAATAGTAACATAATAGTAACTCACATTTCTATGACATTAAGGTGATATGACTTGCCCTGGGTCAGAGTGAGGATCTGACCCAAATTCCAAACCCTTTTCAGACTATATACCACAATGCCTCATCTCTCTTGGCAAAGGAATCTCACAATCACTTGCATTTGTAGCACTTTTAGAAAGCAGGAGCAATGGGTCTCCCCATTTATAGATAGAACAACGGAGATCTAGACAGAGTCCACAAATGACTGGAAGTCGCATAGTAGAAGTTATGGGGACCCTGTAACAAAGGAGGACCAATTGATGGAACTGAACAGAAGAAGGTTTTGAAGGAAGGTGGAAAAAGACCATTGTCTTCAGATAACTGACAAGCTGTCATGTGGATAAAGGATTATTGATAGATGGCCCTCACAACAGCAGCACAGAAAGGTCAAGCACATCAGAGGCAGCTAGGTGGCCCGCTGGATGGAGCACTGGGCCTGGAATCAGGATGATCTGAGTTCAAATCCATCCTCAGACACTTACTAGCTATGTGACTCCGGGCAAGGTATTTAGCCTCTATCTGCCTTAATTTCCTCTATAAAATGAGGATAATAATATCACTTACCTCCCCAAGTTGTAAAGATTAAATGAGATAATATTTATAAAACGCTTAGCATACTCCCTGGTGCCTAGTAGTTGCTTTATAAATATTTTTTTCAGCTCTTCCTTAAGCGAATTGCCCAGACTGCTCATAAGTGTCTGAGTGTTTCAGGTCTTCCTGCCTTCCAGTTCTGAGCTCTATTCACTGCCCACTGCCCCACTGAGTTCCCTTCTAGTTGTGCTGTGGGATTCTGGGATTGTGTGATCTTCCTGTGACTCTTACCTCTTGGGGGTCCACCATGCAGTAGTGGTAGAGGTACTGGTTCACAATGCCCCCTGCCACTGGCGACATCATTTGGTTGCAGAGGATCAACATTTGGTTGTAGTAGAGACTCCCAGAGCTGGACCCCAGCCCTGCCCGGGGGTTCACCCCGACCACGTAGACAATGGAAGCGATGAGCATCACAAACGCTAGCAGGCCGCTGAGCACGGTGACCAGCAGGTAGAAGCGGCGAGAGCGAGCACTTGACGCTTTGGACAGACCAGCTATGACCAGCCCGAGGGTCACCAGGAAGCAGAGCACGGCCATGGCGATCATGAAACCGGTGGCCGCCCGGGGGTTGGTCAGGCCACCATAATAGCCGCCATAGCCGCCGTAGCCACCGTAGTAGCCATTGTAGTAGCTTCCCAGGCCACCCCCGTAGCCCAGGAGGCCGCTGCCACTGCCGTAGTAGTCCCAGGCTAAGGTGGAGGCCACACAGGCAAAAATAACCAAACACAGGATGACCACAAATCCCTGCAGGATGCGGACAATACCTGGAGGGGAGCGCCAGTGGTAGAAATGCTGGGGAGGGACATCTGCCAGGTAGAAGGAGCCAGGAGGGCCCGAGGGAGGTGGGTAGTCATAGCGGGAACTGGGGTGGCCATAGCCTGTGTAAGACCTTTTCTCGTACATCATGGGCAGGGGGCTACCTGGAACACAGCATGCAGAGCCTATTATCCCCTTTATATTGCAACATCACTACCAGCTCTGACATTCCCTGTTCCAAGATCCCTTTCAGTTCTGACATGATATGTTCTGAGGTCTTGTCCAGCTCTGATATTGCATTTTCTAAGATCCCCTCCATTTCTGACATTCCATGTTTTACACTGTGTCCCAGCTCTGACATTTCTGTTCTCAGAATCTCTTCAACACTGATATTGTCTTCTATGGTTTTTTTTTTTCCCCAGCTCCAACAGTCTACCTTTTATGTTCTAAGGTCCCTCCCAGTTCTGACATTCTTAGATCCCTCCCAGTGCCGCACTCTATTTACAGTGATTTTATGACCTGACACCTGTTAGGAGACCAGCTCCATCACCTTCTCCTTAACCTCCATCCCTCTAAACAAGGAGAAAGAGACATAGGGCTAAGAGAGAAGATCTGGAAATCATGGGCTCTCCTTAGCTTTTGGGAGTTTCTGAGGGGCCTGCACTCAAGTGTCGCAGGCACTGGAAAACTCTATGTCTCAACCCTGATAGGTGGCTGGGGAGAGGAGAATGCCACTCAGAGATACCTCCTGCTCCTAGCTTCCCTTTATCCCATAGACCACCTCCCTCCCTTCTACGGTCTCTGTACCTCTCCTGACCCATTCACCGCCAAACCAGGGCATTTGCCTGGTCCCCAAGCCACTTTCTGCCTTTCCCCTGCTAGCAGAGACTCCTGCCTAGGTTCGACCAACTCCTAGGTCCTTGCTAATCTCGGGGTATTGCTCTGAGGTCTCCTGTGGGAACAGAACCGTTTACCTGAGCTCGGTGCCCGCCTGCCCAGGCTCCGCCTGGCTGCCTCCTCTCTCCAGGGATCTGCTTCCAGGCTCCCAGAGCCAGCTCTGACAGTTGTCCTAACGTGTCGTGTCCCTGCCTTCCCCTTCACTGGCCGCCTACGGGAAAGGTGAACGATGGGGCTCTTGGAGTAGGGAGGGGATGCCGAAACCTAAGGGGTGGGGTCCCCTGGCTCCCCTGGGCAGCCTTGGCCTGCCCTCCCTCTTTGTCACTGGAAAAATGGCTGCAGGGATTAATCATTAGTAGATACACAAAGGCTCAGGAAAGGAGAAAAACCACAGGCTTGGCCCACGCTGGAGTTAACCCAACTTTAACCAGGGCTGTGCTGGGCGGGAGCACAGGCTGGCTGGGAGAGGCAGGCGGGCAGCTCTTGGTGGGAACCCACAGGTTCCTCTTTGGGACTTGGCCGGCCTGGGTAGCTTAACCCGTTCTCTTCTGGACGATCTCTAGGAAGATGCAGCAACTTGGTCCGAGAGCTGGCCGGGGTCAGAAGAAGGCTAGTCCCCTGCCCAGGCAGCTCCCTCCTTTTCTTTTCTCTGCACAAAGGTTATAGCAGAAGGGCCCGTGCTGAGAAGACAAGCAGAACTTCCCATCTCTTAGAGGTCCCTCATTCTGGCATGGGAGAGCAGTGGAGGGATGGTTGGACAAAGGAGCCTCTGGAGCCCCTTCCAGATCTGAGGGGTTCCAACTGGGATGTGATCCCAAGTGTGAGCTTCCTTAAGACTTCCTGGCTTCTGGAACAGGAAACATGCTCACCAAATAGTGTTTCATGAGCTAAAACCTTCCTCCTCCAGGAAGCCTTTACTGTTACCCTCCCCATTCCCCAAGTATTCTCAGCACAAAGGGACACAGCCCAAATTGATTTCCTCTGGTTTAGTCCCAGGGCCCTAGGGCAGGCTCCTCCTCAAGCCAGGATGAAGACAGAGACTGTGTGTCCTTCAAACTAAGGACTCTCTGAAAAAAAGGGCAATGACTCCCCCTCTTATTAAGTGTTCACTCTTTTTTATTATATATTTTATTTTTTTAAAGAATGTTTTTATTTTACCTTTTCCTCAGCTATGTGTAAAAACAATTTTTGACATTTGTTTTTTATAAATTTTGAGTTTCCAATTTCCCTCTGTCTCCCCTCTCCCCTCATTGAGAAGGCAAACACTTTGATATAGATTATACATGTTTAATCATTCAAGATATATTTCCATATTAGCCATGTTGCAGAACACAAACCAAAAAGAAAAAAAAATAGGAAAAATAAAGAAAGTTTAAAAGAAGTATATGCTTTGATCTGCATTCAGACTATATCAGTTGTTTCTCTGGAGGTGGATAGCATTTTTCATCATAAGTACTTCAGAATTGCCGTGGATCTTTATATTGCTGAGAATAGCTAAGTCATTCACAGTTGATCATCATACAATGTTGCTGTTACTGTGTACAATGTTCTCTTGGTTCTGCTCACTTCACTGTGTATCAGTTCATATAAGTCTCCCCAAATTTTTCTGAAACCATCTTGCTTGTCATTTTTTATAGCACAATAGTAATTCATAACAATCATATACCACAACTTATTCAGCCATTCCTCAACTGATAGGCATCCCCTTAGTTTCCAATTCTTTGCCACCATAAAGAAAGCTGCTATAAATATTTTTGGGCATCTGGAACCTTTTCCTTTTTCTTGGATGTCTTTGGGATATAGACCTAGTAGTGGTCTTGCTGGGTCAAAGGTTATGCACAATTTTATAGCCCTTTGGGCACAGTTCCAAATTTGAGCTCTTCCTCTTGCTGTGAGGGACCATATTGTCCCCTCAAACCAGGGCAGGGCAAGAGCCATATTTTTCCCCCTGATCCTGAGTACAGAGACAGTGTCTCAAACTGGGAGCTGCCACTCCCGAGAGGTTGCCCGTTGTCTGCCTCTCAAATTACAGACTTCCCACTCAGGGGCTCCCTGAAGGGAGGGACCAGGTCACCTCTTCTCAGTGGGGACTCCCCATGGTCAGGGCCACATATATTAAGGCGTGGATGGTTTCTCTTTCAGAGATATTTTATGCAAAGATATTCTCTTCCCACCCCCAGTGACAATTTTGCTTATTTTCCTAGCTCCATGAATTTTATCCGTATAAAAACTGTTAAAATTTTATGTCATTGAAATTGTCCACCTTCTCTTTTATGATCACTTCTACCCCTTGTTTGATTTAGGACTCTCCACCTATTTATGAAAAGTATTAATTCTCTGCTCATCTTGTTCTGATGTGACCTATTATACGTAAGTCATATATCCATTTGGAACTTATTATGTCACCCATATCGTGTAAAAGGCTGTTCTAAACCCATTTTCTGCCAAGCTGCTTTCCATTTTTTCCAGATGTTCATGTTGAATAGAGAATTCTTTCTCCAGGAGTTTTCATTCTTGAGTTTACTGAAGACCAGATGACCCCATTTAGAAAACCCAAAGATGTTATTTATCCAGATTAAGGCCAGTTTTCCTAGCAAAGACCAGTTTCTTTCTGGGATGTGGGAGTGGAGAAGGGATATGGAAAGAGTTCAGAGTCTCAGCTGAGATGGCTCTTCACCTATTGCCCATCTTTTCTGCTTTCACTGCAAAAGGACTTTCCACTTCTTCTGTCCTCACTCTAAAGCCCTTTGTGGGCATGATATTTTCTCTCCAATGCATCCTCTCAGGAGATGGCAAGAATTTAAATCAGAACTTAGAACCTTGAAGTCATCTGGGGCAGCTTAGGAAAGATAGGGTCAGCTCTTTTTAGGTCGAAGCTTTTACTCAGTCCTTCAGTGTGAGGGATGATACTGGTTCATGTCCAGCACGGAGTGGGGAATAGGGGAAGGAGCTATGTAAAGTGAAGAAGGGGGAGGAAGGGCAAGGTGTCAAGCACCCAGGGATGGATTCTCCATTGGTTGCCTTCTTTAGTCTAGGAAATTTCCAAAACATTGAACCTGCCTACAATCTGGCATATGGATAAAAAATACATTGTAGCAGGAGAAATTCTTCAAATTTCTCTATTAAAATGAAGAATTAGGTTTTCGTTTCTTCCCCCCTCCCCCACTGCCTGCCCTGCTCCTTCCCTTTTTTCTCAATTTGATAGGGGACCAGAGAAGTCAGGCAACTCTCCCAAGGTCACATAGTATTGATGGCATCCCCCACTCACTTCCACCTACACCAGATGATCTCCAAGCTGCTGCATCTCTCCTCAATCCTGGAATAACTTCTTTTCCCTGCTTCTCCTCTTCTTCCCTCCCCCAAGGCTCAATTATAATCTACCTCTTTTAGAGAGTTTTAACATTTTTTTCTTTTTTATTATTACTCCAGGAATCTTTGCATGACAACCATGACTCACACTGACCTCTCCACTCACTTGATGTATAGCATTTACCAGCTGAATATTTAGTTCTTTAGAGTCATGGGAACATAGCAGACAGAATGTCAGAGCTGGAAGATGCTTTAGTAGTTATTATACCTAATTACTCCAGTAGACCTGTGATCTCATCCATCACTTTGGGTGTTACCTCCAGTGATGCAGACCACTACCTGTCTACGTCTGCCCATCTCATGGGACTCTTGTCCAGATCTTACCCTAAGTTTGTCCCAAGGGGTCCAATTAATTTGCTGGCTTTCTGCCTGTCATCCCTTGCCCTCATTACGTGACCAGTCTATCTTCTTCTTTTTTTTTTATCATACACTTCCTGGAATGATAATCTTTACTTTTGTTCTTCCGAGTTCCTCACTGGGAAGACATTGCAGCCTCCTTATTTGGCACCATGTTCCTCTCCATGGCTCTCTATGTAACTAATATCCATTTTCCATTCTTTAGAGACCATGTTTCATGTCTCACATGCCACATAGCTAAGCAGAAAATTGGCATTAAAAAGATGGGTCTTAGTTTCCTGGAGAAGTTTGGGATCATTAAAAGAACTTCACAATTTCCTAAAGGGAATCCAGTCCATCCTCATGCTCTTGTTTAATTCTGAACCTAATTAGTCTGTCTGTATATATACATATATAAATGTATGTATATATGTATATTCTATATATACATATCCATATGTATGCATGCATATCCCATAGTACACATAGCTACATGTAGCTACATGTTCATATACATATCTATATATGTCTATTGCATGTAAGTGTTTATGTATGTAAATGTGTGTATATGTACATATGTACGTATACACGTATATCATATGTACACTGATATATAAGCTGTGATCAATCCAACTGTGTGTCATCATCTTAGCAACAGACATTCTTCATCCACTTTGTTTTTCTTGTATTGATGGCTAGGTCAAATTTTCTCAGTAATTATGAACCTCTTTCAGGAGGCTCTGCAATGTTGCAAGTCTTGATGTAACCAGAATGATGTCATCTTCCAGCTCCTCTTAATTTTAATACCTTCTCTCTGTTAATTATTTCCTATTTATACTGTATATACCTTCTTTGCACATATTTGCTTGCTTGTTGTCTCCCCTGTTAGATTTGAGCTCCTTGAGGGCAGGGACTGTTTTTTTTTGCCTCTTTTTGCATCCTAAGTATTTAGCACAATGGCTAGCATATTACTATTGTTCAGTCATTCAGTCATGTCTGATTCCTTATGATCTCTTGGGGTTTTCTTGGCAAAGATACTGGAATGGTCTGCCATTTCCTTTCCCATCTCATTTTACAGATGAGGAAACTGAGGCAAACAGTTAAGGGTCTTTCCCAGGGTCACACAGCTTGTAAGTGTCTGAGACCAGATTTGAATTCAAGTCTTCCTGACTTCAGGCTTGTCACTCTATCCACTGTGCCACCTAGCTGCCCCAAGCTTAATACAGTGCCTGGCACACAGTAGGTGCTTAATAAATGTTTTTTGACTCACTTTAAATAGGAGCCTCTGGAAGATCTTACCTTGGGAAATCCCTCTTCAGTTGAATCCTGCACTGTTCCATCACAGTGACAAACACCTTTAGCAATTACTTCTCCCTGTTTTATGCCTCACCTGATATTTATGATGAGAGGGTCACTAAACAAGGTAATCTCTGTTATATCTTTCAAGGAATATTTAATAATTTTGATGTCTGGAAGGAAAGCATCTGGAAACGGGATCTTTATGGTGGTGTTCAGCTCCATCAAATCAAATGCTATAAAATAAAATCAATAAATATTGTTTAATGGGTACCCCATATTTTGTACATATTCTAATCAATTGTGTGATGGTGAAGATATAGCTTGCTGTGGAATATTGATTGCAGAAGCCGCTTGGTTGAGGATGCACTTGATACACGTGGAGATGATTCTCATAAAATTTTTGTTAGATAAATTACTGTTAGGTCAGTAGTTGTTCTTTTAGTGGCCCTTTTTGGATTAATAAGGTTTTGAGACTCTATTCATGCCTTTGCTATTTCCCCCTCCTTTAGTCTTTTTGTGAACTGATCTTTCAAAGCATTCACAGTTGTGTAACCTCCAGCCTGGATCTCCTCTATTTATATGTGTTTTAGCCCAGTTGCTTTTTTTGCCTTCCTTCTATTGAATGCCATTTCTACCTCCTCTATGGACACATCCAGGACCATGATGTTTGAGTCCAAGTTTGGTGGGGCTATTATCCTTGATGGTGAAAATGGTTTGTCATAAAAATCTTTGCAGATCTTTTCCATTTTTCTTCTGTTTGTTGTCTTCCATTCACTTTCTTCATTAAATGCTCTTGGGATGACTTTACTTGATTTGTTCTCTAATCAGTCTTTCTGGTTTTACACTCCACTGATGGTAGTATGCTGGGCCTGGAGTCAGGAAGACCTGAGTTCAAATGTAGCCTCAGACACTTACTAGTTGTGTGACCGTGGGCAAGTCACTTAACCCCATTTGCCTCCATTTCCTCATTTGTAAAATGGGCTGGAAAAGGCAAACCACTGCAGTCTCTTTGCCAAGAAAACCCCAAAAAGAGTCATGAAGAATTGGACACGACTTAAAACAACTAAACGATGAACAACAACAAAGCTTCCTTCTGCTTTATGAGGTATTATTGCTTCTTGTCTTCCATCCCTGTTCTCCCAAAGATTTTATGAATGAGCTTATTGTCTAAACACATTATAGTGTTTGCTTGTCAACTCTCTTCAGTTGGTAAATATAGGTTTGCTGACCAAGGCACTTTTTAGGCTCTTTTGGTCTCCTTGTTATGGCAATTGATTTACATTAATATAATTTTTTGTATAAAATGTTTGAACAGATCAGGATTAAATTGTTTCAATTTTATGCAATCTCTTTTTCTTATTATTCTTTTAAATTTTGATCTTTAACAAGTCAGACAGCTAGCTGATTCTGGAATGACTCCCATATCAATAAGCTTATTTTCTCTCTGTTAAAATATTATTAATTTCTTTTTTTTTTGGTAGGATGTTCATTTGGCATTAACCAGCACCTATCAATTCCTTTCTTTCAGAAAGGATATATGATATGAAGGTTTGAGGTTTTTGTGAAGTCTACACGTCTCATTCCTTATTCCTCACTATGTTTTTCAATCTATTTCTTGTCATATTCACCTGTTCCTACCTTTATGGTGAAGTCATTGAACACCAAATCATATGCTGATTCAATTTAGACTATCTTAATTAATTTTTTGGTAGAATTTCTCTGCCTGTTGTCCTCTGCAACCCTTGTTGGCGCATAAGCTGTCATGATTTTCATGGCTATTTTTTTGCACACACATTGGCACTGAAATAGGAGATGGCCACATATTCCCATGAAATGGTGTCTCTCTTTGCCTTTGGATATGTAATAAAAACCATTCTGTCAATTCCTTTCTTTGTCTCTCTGAGGAGTACTGGTGAGCTGTCTTTACATTTAGCTGTGGGTTTCTTCTGGTTGTGTTTTTCTTGCAGGCGTTCTTAATTTGAGGTCTATGAGCTTGTTTGTGTGAGTGTGTGTTTTAAATATTTTGACAATTGCATTTCAATAGTTTATTTCCTTTGTAATCCTATATATTTTATTTATGCATTCAGAAAACATTGTTCTGAAGTGTTTTTGCATTTTATGCATTAGGAAAACAATTTTCTGAAGTGTTTGCATTTTATGCATTCTAAAACGTTGTTCAGAAGATGCTTGGAATTCCTATTCTGGGCAGGCAATTTGGTGAATTGCTAGAGTTTAGGAGTTCTGACCTGCATTGGGTTAAGGTGATCAGTTGTTCACACTATGTTTGGAAGCAATATGGATTTTGTGGCAGTAATAAGAATACTAGTAGTAATGATAATGATAACTATAATAATAATAGACATTTGTTTATAAAGAGCTTTAAGACTTGAAAAGTACTTTGCAAACATTAACTCATATGAGCCTCACAGTAGCCCAGTGAGGTAGGTAATACATGTATTATTATGATTATCACCATTTTATGGATGAGGAAACTGAGGCTTATGATCTCCTCAACGTGTCCTCGGTCAAACAACTGGGAAGGGTCAGAGAAGCAATTTGGACCCAAGTGTTCCTGATCTCTAGTCCAGAACTCTATCGATTGTGCCTTAATGCCTTCCTTGGAATATGGAATTCAGTGTTGGAGCTGGGAGGGCCCTTAGAACATGGAATGCTAAGAAGACCCTTAGACCAGAAAACATCAGGGCTAGGAGGACCCTTAGAACAGAGAATGTCAGACTTAAGAGATACCTTGAAACATAGAACATCAGAACTGAGCGGAGGGATCCTTAGAACACAGAATGTCAGAGCAGAGGGATCCTTTAGAACACAGAATATCAGAGCTGGGAGGAACCTTAGAACACAGAATTTCAGAGCTAGGAGAGACATTAGAACATGGAATACTGGAACTGGGAAAGACCTTAGAACAGAGAATGAATCTCAGAGATAGGAGGGACCAGAGAGCATAGTTTGGAGACTAGAGAGAGGGCCCTTAGAGCTGGATTTGGGACCTTGGTGACTGCATAGTCCATATCTCCTCATATTCTGTTTTGATCAGGAATGAAACAGAAGGAGAGAAGGAAGAAATGAAGGAGAAAGAATTTGCCCTGGGTTAGGCTAAGTTAATGGCCCCACAGGGCCCTGAAGCCAGGTCTCCTGACTCCCAGCCTAGCTGTGCCCTTGGAGGGAGGTTCCTGCTGGCTGTCTCTTCTCAGAAGTATTTTCTTCTCTGTAGGTGCTCGCACCCCCAGCCCATGGGTGCACCCCACCATGGGCAGGCCACTTAGTGACATTCATTCGCCAAATACTGATAACCCCCTGGGGTGGCAGTGGGGGCTGAGATCAGCCTGGTCTCAGGGGCAGCAGCTATTCTCAGCCCTAGCTAAGGCAGCCCCCTTCTTCATCAGCGAGGGGGGACTGCAGAGAGTCCCTGGCGTCTCAAAGCAGCATCCTGTCCCATCTTCTGGAGCTGTCTCTGCCCGGGCATGGGCAATGTCTGGTTCAGAAATAAACGGAGCCATCCTTGGAATCCTTTTCATCATATTTCTGGATTTGTGCTTTGAGGTGCCTCAATTTTCTCTTCAGGTAGTCACAGCGGGCCTGCTTTTCCAGGAAAACTGGGTCCTGCCGTAGAGGAGAGAGAAGAAAACCTCATGGCCAGTGCTCAGCCTGGTCAACGTTGATGGAGGGAAAAGTGCTTCATTCAGCCTAGCCTTGATCCTTACTGCTGCAATACTGGTTTGATTTATTTCTATTTTTTTTAAATGTATATTTACACCTGCCTTCTCCCCTCCTCTTCTTCCTTCTTCCAATTCATTAAACTCTTACCTTAACTCCTTGATTAAAACAGTTCCTCTGAGCTTGTCTCTCCCAGAAAGTCTGACTAGATTGACCCATCCGAACAGTTATCTTGCCACCCAATAATTGGGGCTCCTTTTTGCACAGACCAGGACCCAGTATTTATAAAGTTAGGTCACAAAATAAATGGATCCTATGCGCTCATTGTTCAGGGTCTTCAAGGTTGGCCCCAGAATTGGAGGTGGGGAGGTTTCAGCTCTGTTTCCAGCCTTCTCCTCCCCATAGGTTGAGCCTTATCCTTCTTTCCTTTATTTGGGGGTGTCCAGAGACTCCCCAGGGCACGAGCTACCACTAAGACTTAGTTCTTGTGTTTCTGGTGTAGCAGGAGAGAGACTCTTACCTGAGAAAATATCACTGTCTCTCTCAAATCACTTTCCTTCCCCTAGCCTGACTTACTTAGTTTTACCATCTGTAAAATGGGAGTATATGTAGCTCTATTTGATTTCCCTGGTCCCTCCCAGCTCTGTGGTCTCTAGTGAGGACCTTAGGATGGTTCCTAGGCAAGGGGAGAGAAGATGACTTCTGGTGAGGCCTTTGGGAAGGGATGTTAGGGGAAGGGCTAGATTCAGAGGACAGGGTTCTATAGAGTTGATCAAGGTTTCAGGCATCCCACACTCACCCTCTTCTTCCTCTCCAATTCCCTCCGGACCCAGGCAAGACGGGCTTCTTCCTGGTATGGGGGAGAAGGAAGTTGGAAAGCTGAGTCTGAGCTGAGTGGAGCTTCACCTACTGCCCAGTTCCTCTGCTTTTCACTCACAATTCATCAAATACTTTCTGCTTAAAGCAGCACTTTCTACCCTGTCGCCTCCAGGAAGCCTGCCAGAGTTGACAGGAGGACCAGAAGGGCCTCTATGTCCCTGGGCCATCTGGTGATGGGGAGTGCCTTTCTCTGGGACAGATCAGGACCTCACAGGCTGCCTGGAGGGCACAGGCTGGAGCTCAGCTGCTCATCAGTCAGTCAACAAGCATTTATTTAGCACCTGCTATGTGCCAGGCTCTGTGTTACGTGCTAAGGATACAAAGAAAGGCAAAAGCCAGTGCCTGACCTCAAGGAGCTCAGAGTCTAACGGGGGAGACAATATGCAAACAACTTTGTACAGACAAGATACATCCAATGCATATGGCAGGTAGATTTCAGAGGTGAGGAGGGAGAGCATTCCAGGCATGGGGCACAGCCAGGGCAAAGCCACTGAGGCCGGAGACAGAAAGTAGTCTGAGGTAGTTTTCTCATGCTGCACTGGGGGGACAGCAGAGGAGCAAGGAGAGGGAATGGCTGCTGCGACTGGGGAAGCACATGTGGTTCTGGGTCACGTCTGACCCAGCCCCCTCCCCCCATCCAGGGTAGGCTGAGAGGATGGCCCCCTGCTGACCTCCCCTTTCCCGCCCTTCCTCCCTGGCTACATGAAAGCCTCAGCATCCCAGCCTCGAGTCAGGGCTCCCATAGTGCCAGGACCCTCACCGAGGGGCTGGCCTGAATGGCCCTTATCATAGGCTGGGGACCCCAAAGAGCCCAGCTCTGCCCCCAGGATCCTCTCAGGCATGAGCCCCAAGTTCTGGGCCGCTAGATTTCTCTGCACCACTTCTCTCCCCACTCTCCTGAAATCTCCTCCTCCTCCTCTGTTCTGGGCGATGCCTCCTCTGGGAAGGAAGTAGGATTTGGGAATGTTTGTTGTTTTGCTCTCCCACCTGCTCCCCTGCCCTCCTCCCTCCACACATTCCCCCTCCCACTACAACAGGAAGGCCCAACCCTGTCCCCTCCTCATAAGCCTCTCAGACAGGATTCCTGGCCAGGCCAGACCCTGACCTTGATCTCCACATGGCCAAACAGGCCCCTCCTAAGAACACAAGCAGACTCAAGTTCTCTAGGTGTGCCCACCCCCTACCCGTATCTCCCAAGCCCTACCCTTCCTCTTTGCCCGTTGCTGGCACCAAGCCCATCTCCTCCAGATAGCCTTCCATGATTAGCCCCAACCGGACCTCATGGCTATGTCTTGTCTGAGTGGCCCCTCTCCTTTCCCTTCAGAAGGCAGGAGCCACCCCTCTCCCCCAGATCAGGGGCTGTCCAGACAGTGGTTATGTCTCTCTGAGTTCTCCATGGCGAGTCAAGTGGCGTTAATCTGAGAGGGCTCCTTGGAGGTGGCAGATTTGGAGCCAGGAATGGTTAGAGAGGAGGGCAGAGCATGCCTGGTCATTTGGGACCCAGGGAGGGAGCCCTGGGTCTTTGGGAGTAAAGAAACAGTTAGAGGGGGGTGGAAAGGGTGGGCACCGACCTTGGGGCCCGGCTGGGGCAATGTAGCCAGCAGGGCCTGCAGCTCCTGGAATTTGCCCATGGCTGTGGCCACGTTCTGGTGGAGCTCCTGGTACTCGGCATGCTGGTCTTGAAAGATGGCCTTGTAGCGGCGCCTCTCAGCCTCACTGTAGATTGCTGGGTATCTCCTGCCAGGGGAGGAAGCCACCAGGGGCTCAGCGTGGGGTCAAAGTGGGTCTGTGCTGAGCGCAGAACAGCTGGAACTTTTAAAAGTGGCAGTGACTCATCCAAGGTTACACAGTCAGTCCTAAAGCCAGCAGGACTCAAATCTGGGGCCCTGAGCTCTTTCCCCTTGATATATACACAGACACACAGAAATGCCGGTCCATGTGCAGAAAGACACACAGTCCCACAAGTTGATATGTCCTCAGCCTAGGGTTTTGTTGAGAAGATTGAAGTAGGGCTGAGATAGCTGGGGTTGGGGCCTTGAGATGTATTTCTCCTTAGGGGAAGTCTCACCCACCCATCTTCCAAAACGAAGTTGTTCCCATATAGAGAACCCCAAGGATCCCAAAAGACCTCTTTCTATCCCCCACCCAGGCACATTAAAACTCTTTGCTTAGGGACTGCCCAATCCTCCTAAGGCTTCCCAAATGACCCTTCTCCAGGGACCCCCCAGTCATCCCCCTCATCCCTTATGCTCCTCCAGTTACCCCAGCCCAAGGACTTTCCAATGCTCCCCCCCAAAGTCTTTGGATCTCCCCCTAGACATCCCTGGTGATGTTCCCACCCTCACTCCAGGGACCCTTGCCTAGAAACCTCTCCCCTACCCTTCCCTCCCAGTTGTTTCCCCCCATTCACCTCTGGTGCCAACCAAAAGGTAGACTTACAGTACATAGTCAGGTACCAGCTGAGGTGGGGGGCTGTGCCCAGGGTGAAGGGCTGGGCCAGACCCTGTGGGGCCCTTGCGCAGCTGAAGACCCAGCTTGGGGGTCACCTCAGGGTTCCTGACAGGAAGTTCATCTTCAAACACAATCTTCCTGGGCCTCTGCTGGTGCTGACCCCGAGCCTGGGTGTTGTTGGGGCAGAAGGAAAGCAAGTGAGGGGTGGAAGGCCCTGTGAGAATGGAGGGGGGCCAGCTCTGGACACCAGGCCGCTGGGGCTTCTCGGGGACCCCAGAATCCCTCACTGCAGTTTCCCCAAGCTCCAGATCTGGGATTAGCTACTGCTCAGATTAGCTGCTTTTGGGGCCTTGTTCATGAGGGACTTTGGGGGAGTAGGTGGGGTAGAGATTTGTTGCACCCAGAAATAACAACAATAATAAACGTTTCCATATCACTTTATTGTGTTATGCCCCACATAGCGTACCTCCCTCATTCTTTTTGTGTGTTGTCTTCCCCTGATAGATGGTAAGCTCCTTGAGGGCAGAGAATGTCTTTTTTCATTTCACATAGTAGGTGCTTAATAAATGTTTACTGACTATTAACTAATATTTACATCCACAAACCTTACAAACTCTATTTTTCCGTTTCCCCTCAGACTCTACCCTGTTCCTTGTGTCTTTAGACCCCATCTTCTCTTCTCCTTTATATTTCTCCCCTTCATATCCTTAGTCCTTTCCCCAACTTTTGCCCACACATTGGACTCCCATTCTACCCATAAACTCCAGCTTTGTCCTATACTCACCAAATCTACCCCTCCGCATGCCTATAGAAAACTACCCCTATGCCCATATAGCCCATCCCTTCCGGTGTGCCTACAAACCAGTCCTCCCTGTACCCCTAGACTTCATGCCTCTCTGTACCCTGCGTTTGTCCCTCTAAGAACTCATACTTTGTCTCCTCTTGTGCCCACACATCTCATAGTCTCCCACGCCCATTAGTTTTCTGCACCTCTATACCCTATATGCTCCCATGACCCAGAAATCATCCCTCTTGTGCCCACAGACCCCATCTCCCTCACACTCACATTCACTGCTCCTCTATGGGCCCATGCAACATATCCCCTCATGCCCACACAGTGCCCTGTGCCCACAGATCCTTCCCCCTTTGTGTGTACACAGACAAGTCTATCATGCCAACACAATGGACTCTCCTTGTAATCACCACACACTCTGGACACCCCAATGCCTACACCTCCTGTTTGTCAGACTGGTACCTATTATGCCCATCTAACCCATCCCCTCCTACGGCAGGAGGCCCTGTGCCCCCATGCTTAGAGACTATATCCTCCCACTGTCCCTTCCCCCTGCTCACATACTACGTTGTTCTCTGAGGCTGAAGATCCCATTCATTCATTCAATAATTCATCCATTCATTCAACAAATATTTCTTAAATAGCTACTCTGTACCAAAGCCCTGGTCTTTGTGCTAGGTTAGATGTGACACAGTCTCTGCTCTCCTGACGCTTACATTCTCCTGGGGGAAATACAGCATGTATGCAGATGAATCTGCTATGAAGTACATAGAGTCAAATACAAAGGATGGAAGTGAAGGAAAGAGCCAAATATTCTAGGAAAATTGGAGAAGAGGATCCAGGGAAGGCTGCATGGAGGAGGTGGCACCTAAGCCCAGCCCTGAAAAAAGAGAAGGGCTCAGGGAGGCAGAGAAGAAGGCATTTATTCCAGGCATGGGGCAAGGTGGCAGGGGGATTTCAGGAAATTTTTTTAAGTGAGTGGTCCCATATGGCTGTGACATCCTGTTTATGATAGGGGTAATGAGAAATAAGTCTGGACAGGTAGTCTAGAGACAGTATGGAGGGTCTTAAATATTAGGCTGAGCTGTTGATATTTTTATCCTACAGGTAATAGGGAGCCACTGAATATTTGAGGGGAAGGGAATGAGACAGTTAAACCTGTACCTGAGGAATATCATTTTGGCATCTCTGTGGAGGAAGAATTGTGGAGGGGAGAGACTGCAGGCAGGGAGGCCAATTAGGAGATAATTACAGTAGTACAGATGAGAGGTGGTGAAGGGATGGTGGTTGTGGGATTGTGAAGAAGGGACTTTGTGGAGACAGAATTGAGAGTTCCTGGCAATTGATTGGACATTGGGGGACAGGGGAGGGGAGAAAAGGTCATAGGATCATAGATTTATAGCTGCAAGGGACCTCCAACTCCCTCATTTTACAGATGAGGGAACTGAAGCCCAGGGAAGCTGTAACTTGCCCAAGGTCACATAGTAAGGATCAGAAGTAAGACTTGAGCCTGGGTCATCTGACTCCAGAACCAGCGCTCATTTCATTCCACCATGATGACATGAGGTTATAAGCTTGGGTAACTGGAAGGCTACAGGAGAGGTGGATTTGGATGAAGGATTTCTATTGCAGTTCAGTCATTTTTCAGTTGCGTCCAACTCTTTGTGATCCCATTTGGGGTTTTCCTGGCAACGATACTGGAGTGGTTTGCCTCCATTCCTTCTTCTGCTTGTTTTACAGATGAGGAAACTGAGGTAAACAGGGTTAAGTGACTTGCCCAGGGTCATATAGCTAGTAAGTTTCTGAGGTCAGATGTCAATTTCTGAAATATGAGTCGTCCTGACTCCAGGTCTGGGTTCTTTCCACTGCTCCACCTAGCTGCCCTGGGTGAAAGGGTGGGGGTAGGAGGAGTCATAATGACTTCAGTTTTGAATACGTTGAGTTGGAGAGGCTTGTGGGGCATGTAGCAGGCAGCTGATGCTCAGTGTGGACGTTACAGTTGGATATATAGATCTGGGAGTCATCTCCATAGAAACGATCATTGAACCCATCACAAAGGGAGACAGTGTAGAGAGAGGAGAGAAATGGGTCCAGAACAGAAGCTTGCTGCATCTTTAAGGAATAGGATTCAACAAAGGAAACTGAGAAGGATCATCCAGAAATGTAGAGTACATAAGAGAAGGCAGTGCCATGAAAACCCAGAAAGGAGGGAGTGTCCAGGAGGGGAGGTGTGGAGGCCAAGAGCAAACACTATAGAGAAGCTAAGGAGGATGAGGATGGAGAAAAGGCTGCTGGGTTTAAGGAGGCATGGAGTGGAGATGATTCTTTTTAAGGGCTTGTCTTGGAAAGGGAGGCTAGCTTGAGGGGATGGTAGGGCCAAGTGAAGTTTTAAAGGATGGAGGAACCCTAGGCATTTTTATAGACAACAGGGAAAGTGCCAATAGAGAGGCAGAAATTGAAGGTGAGAGAGAAGGAATGATTGAAAGGAGGAAACTCCCTGAAGGAGAGACGAGAGGCGAGCAGACTGGTACCCATCTGCCCCTGTGTCCTCCCTGTGTCCACATATCCTGTTCCCTATATCCCCAAGCAAGTTTTCTACACCCAGAGATTCCATTGCCCCATATGTCCTCCACAGATGCCATATCATTGTACCTACAGAACCAATCCCTCCATATAATTCTTCCTCCCCATGCCCAGACTCCTTCCATCCAAGTCCACACCTACCACTCCTTTGATGTCCACAGACTCTCATCCTTTCCTGTGCCCACTCTCCCCATCCCTCTGTACCTGAAGACTTTGTCCCCCTCTTGTGCCCACATACCATTTCTGTGCCCAGAGACACGTCTCTTGCCATGCCTATATAACCTGTCCCCCCTGATTCCCAGACTTCCTGCCTATATATACTCTTTACCTGTGCTCACAAAGAAACACATCTTCCATGCTCATAAACCTCATTATTTCCTCAGTGCCCAGAGACCTCAACCCCTCCTTTGCCCAGAGCCTGTATTGCCCCACCCAACCAACCCCAAATCCCCCTATAGCCATATACCTCATTCTCCTTGGTCCTGAGAGCCTTTGTTTATATGTCCCATTGCCCCACGCCCACAGAGCCACTCTGGCCCCTTCCCACACCCTCAGTTCCTTTCTGTGTCTACAGCCCTACTCCCCCTTCATGCCTATAAAATTTCTCTACTCTATTTATGCCCCCCCATGACTCATCCTGCCCCATAACCACATGCCCTCCATGCCCACATCTACTTCACTAATGCCCACAGACCCCAGTCTCTCCCCTGTGCCCACATACCCTGGCTCTATCTCTACCTGGAAATCTTGTCTTCCTCTGTTCTTCTTTAACTTATTCCCATTTATTCCTTGTTCTTGTCCTTGGGGCTCCAACTCTGGGGACCAGGGACTTACCCCAGGGTTCTTGGGCCTGGCAGGCAAGCAGTAGGTGATGGGTGGGCAGCTGGAGCCTTTTGGGACCCCTTTCTTGCTTTGCTGGAGAAACTTCTTCCCAGCGTGTGGGACAAAGTGGTGGACAGGAGTGATGGTCTGGATTGGCCTTTGGAGACTACTGGGGACTCTGGGTGAGCAGCCTGGTCCTTGTGGTCCTTGGCCTGAGTTCTGGATGTCTTTGCTTGATTGGGCAGGTGGGGGTCCCCTCAACTTCTCTGCCATAGAGTATTTGACTCCGGGGACACCCCTCCTGGCCCCTGGGGGGACTTCATTCCTCAGTGGAGCGTGGGCACGGTAGGCTGGACCTGCCACCTGGGAGACAGACCCGTGGGGACAGGAGCAGACACCACGTGGGTGGCTCTGCCCCTCCTGGCATTGCTGAATCCGTGGCTCAGGAGGCCTGGCAGCAGCTTTGTGTATATTTGCATATCTGACTCGCGTTTTCATAGCCCACTGCTAGCTAGGAATCAGAGGCTCTCTGGACGCTGAGCTGGGGCCTTTCAGGTTAGCTGAAACAACCCCTGTTCGTATAGAAGAGAAGCCCCCTCTAGTGCCAGGGAGCCTCTACAGAACAGGTAGGGCTTTGGGGGGAGGAAGAGCAGTCATTACCCTTGCCCCCTCCCCGCAGCCCAGACTGCCCTCCTTCCACTGGGCCTGCAGGGCCTGGGCAGGAAGTCCAAGAGTCCCTATGCTGCAGGACTTCCTCCTTATGGCTGCTGGAAGCGGCCCCTGCAGAGGCTCAGTCCTGGAGGCACCCCCTGCCTAGTGGCTTCCTTGCCCCCTCCCTTGACTCCCTGCCCCTCCCCCTCCCCACCCCCCAGCCTCGTGCCAGGGGGAAGGAACTCCCTAGCCTGTGTCCTGGACAGCTGAGGGCTCTAGGGGAGCGCCTGGGCGCTCTGCTCCTCCTCCAGTCCCTAGAGTGCAAGGCAGGCCAGCAGGCCCACCAGCATAGGCTCCTGCCCCTTTCTCCACTTTGGAACAGGCTCCGGTCATTACCTGTCTGTCCCAGGGTGGAGGCCCTGAGCCTAGCTGGGCTGTACAGTCCTAGGAGTCCTGGCCTGCTCTGTACTTCTCTCCTGGACAAGAGCTGGGGCCGGGTTATACATTAATCGGTCTGGGTAGGCTCATTACCCACCCCCACCCCACCCCTAACCTTCTGCAGTTGTGGAGGACCCAGGCAGTCAGGGAAAAGAGGGGCGGACTGAGGGAGGAAGGGCCGCAGGCAAGCTCTCCTGGGAGCCCAGCCTCTGCCAAAGTCTCAAGGGATCACCGGGAAAGTCAGGAACCAGGAAGTCGGCCAGGGCTCACACACAAAGGGCAGGTCCTCTCGCTGCAGGGACACAGGGCCACACTGACAGAGGGCACAGGATGTGTGGGCACTGGGACACAGGGACAAAGGGAAATGGGGAGACAGGAATAAAAGGACATGGGGTACAGGGATGCACAGGCACAAGGGTATGGGGGCAGCCATATGGGAACAGGTCACACAAACCCAGGGATCCATAGATATACTGAGACAAAAGCACAGGCAGAATACGTGGACAGTGTACATGGGACAGAAGGACACATGAATATAGGGACATAGGGTCACAGGATTAGGCCACATATACAAAGCCAGCAGGAGTGGCTTTGGAAATACAGATGTTTTCCCATCCTGGAACATAGTAATCACTTAATGTTCTTCCTTCCTTCCTTCCTTCCTCCCTCCCTCCCTTCTTTCCTACTTTCTTCTTTTCTCCCTATTTCCTTGTCTCTCTTGTCTTTCTGTTCTTTCTTTTTTCTCCCTCCCTCCCTCCTTTTCTTCCTTCCTTTCTTTTTTCTTTCTTTCTTTCTTTCTCTTTTTTCTTCCTTCCTTCCTTCCTTCCTTCCTTCCTTTCTTTCTTTCTTTCTTTCTTTCTTTCTTTCTTTCTTTCTTTCTTCCTTCCTTTCTTCCTTCCTTTCTTTCATCAGCTAAGTGGCACACAGCATGGAGTGCTGGACTTGGACTTAGTAAGACCTGAATTAAAACCCTGTCCCAGACACTTAATAGCTGTATGGCCTTGGGATCCTTAACCTCTTTGTGGCTCAGTTTCCTCATTTGCAAAAGAGGGATAATAGCATCTGCTTCATAGGGTTGTTGTGAGAATCAAAGGAATTAACCTATGTAAAGCACTTAAAATGCTCTAGAAATGCTCTCTATTATTATCATAAACCCAACATGTCCTAAACTGTACTCACGATCTTTTCCCCAAAACACTCCCCTCTTCCAGACTTCCCTGTTATTGTCATTCCAGTAACCTCTTCGTTGTCCTGGACTCCTCACACTCTCTGACCCCTAACCTAGCTTTCCAGCCTCATTGAACATCACTCCTCCTTTTGCACTCTTGGAGCCAGACAAACTGGCCCACGACACTCCATCTCCTGTCTCCAGGCCTTTGCACTGGCCATCCTTCATGCCTGGAATGCCCTCCCTCTTTGCCCCTGCCCTGTAGAATGCTTCGTTTCCTTTAAAATGTAGCCCAAGGACCATTTTCTGCAGGATGCGTCTCCTGACTCCTCCCCCTCCACTGCCAGTGCCTTCCCTCCCTCTCAAAGTATCTTGCCTTTAACTACTTTGTATACATTTGTATTTATTCACTTCATATTTATCCTACTTATACTTATGTTTGTGCTTGTCTCCCTCATTGAAATGTAAGCTCCTTGAGAGTAAAGATTCCTTCCTTCCTTTTCTCCCTTCCCTTCCCTTCCTTTCTTTTCTTTTCTTTCTTTCTTTTTCTTCCTCTCCCCCTCATCAGCCACTTAATAATACTTGTTCATTGAGTCATGTCCCCTTCTCCTCCCTCCATGTCCTTGGATGTCCCCTCACATGTGGAAGTGACCCTGGGAGCCTGAAGGCCTCCCTTCATAGCAAAACACAAACTTTGGCAGGCTTTACTAAGTTCCAAGGCTGTGTGCCTAGCATCTGAGGGAACGGCAGAGTTAAGGGCACAGAGACTCATGGCCAGGTTGAGTTCCAAGATAATGAATCTTTCCAGGCACAGTAAATCAGGAAATTGTCTACTATGATTTGCAGGGTTGCCAAAAAGACCAAATAAAGAAGAAAATTATGTACACAAATGTTTCTAGCAGTTCTGTTTGTGGTGGCAAAGAACTGTAAACTAAGGGGGTGCTCATCACTTGGGAAGAGTGGATGACCAAACTATGGTATGTGAATGTAATGAAATGCAATTGTGCTGTAAGAAATGATGACGGGCTGGGTTTCAGAGACTTGTATGAACTGATGCAGAGGGAAGTGAGAAGAACCAGAGAATAATTTATTTTTTCTTTCTTTCTTTTTTCTTTTTTCTTTTGTTGGGCAATGGGGGTTGCAAAGTGACTCGCCCAGCATCACACAGTAAGTGTTATGTGTCTGGGCTGGATTTGAACTCAGGTCCTCCTGAATCCAGGGCTGGTGCTCTATCCACTGCACCACCTAGCTGCCCTCAGAACAATTTATTTTTTAAAATTAAATTGTAAAAAGAAAAAAATAAAAATAAAAAATTTTTAAAAATTAAATTGTATTTTTCAACTATGTCAATTATTCTTGTGTTGTTGTTTCAAGAGCACTTTAGAATTGAACAGCTTTGAAAGACTTAAGAATTCTGATGAAAAGACTAACCATGAATCCAGAGGACCCATGGTGAAGCATTAGGCCCACCTCCTGACAGAGGGCTGGTGGACTCAGGGTGCAGATGGAGACACACATTTTTGAATTTGAGAATTTTTTTGTTTGGCTCTGCAAATTTTGTTATAAGGGTTTTCTTTTTCTTTTAAATAATTGTGGGGAGAGGGGAGAGAAAATAAATGCCTGTTACTTGAAAAACAAACAAACAAAAAAAAAAACCCAAAACACCACCACCACCACCACCAAAGACTTGCAGGATTGGGAGTTTTGCTACCAGGAAGAGTGCCCCTACCCTTGGGATCAGAGACCTCTGAACACAGGAAAATAAGTTCAGACTCCTTAAGGAAATAATAGCAAGGAGGAGGTCCTGGAGTGAATTCAGCACACAGCAGAGCCTGGGGTGGCAGGAGAGAGAGATGGGGCTGTCAGATGCAGATTCTGCAGACATCTACTCAGGTGTTTGTGCGCATGCGCCTGCGCAGGTATCCTCTATCCTCCACTGGAGTACGAAAAAGGACTTGAGGTCCTTAAGTATTTTTCTTTTTTTTTGGTCCACAGCTATAATTTCTTTTAAGGAGCAATCAGTATGGACTGAAGCAAATGGTCAGCCCATCTTTAACTTATGCCCAGAGAGGTGCCTGGGACAACATGAGGTTAAGCGACTTGCCCGTGATCACAGAGCTAGTCACAAGCGCGTGACATTTTACTGGGGTGTTTACAGGAAAGTTTATTTATTGTTAAAGCTTAAAGTTTACAGGAAACTTTATTTATTGTTAAAGCAAACATTTATTGAATGAGCAATCTTAAAAGATATTATTTTAAAAAAAGATATTATTTCTATTCATTAAATAAACTAAAAACAAGAATTTAAAAAATTAACACCTAAATTTTACTTTTAAAATGGGACACAAAATACTAGATTTTCCTTTTTAAGACATTAGGGTTTGCCTGGGGATAGCTGTCAACCCTGCCTCCATGCCAGTTCAGCTAGTATGTATCAGACGCAGAGTATGAACCCAGGATCTACTATCTACTATGTCTTGGGGACTTAAATGTTAGAAAAGTTTATCAGGTTAGCTAGGTGGTGTAGTGGATAGCATGCCGGGCCTGGAGTCAGAAAGTCTCTTTTTCCTGAGTTCAAATTTAGCCTCTGCCACTTACGAGCTGTGTGATTCTGGGGAAATCACTTCACCCTGTTTGCTTCAGTTTTTTCATCTGTAAAATGAGTGGAGAAGGAAATGGCAAACCACTTTAGCATCTTTGCCAACAAAACTCCAAATGGGGTCACAAAGAGTCAGGAACAATTGAAAAAACTACTAAACAATAAAATTCTCTGGGGCAGCAAGGAGGCGCAGTGGATAGAGCACCAGCCCTGGAGTCAGGAGGACCTGAATTCAAATCCAGCCTCAGATACTTACTAGCTGTGAGATCTTGGGCAAATCCAAAAAAAAAAAAAGTAAGAAGTTTATCAGGGCTCAGAGTGGAGATGAATCATAGAAGAGATAGCATTTGAACAGGGTCGAGTAGGATTTTAATATATAGAGATGGTAGGATAGGGCAATGCAGTCATAAACAATGCTGTAAACAAAGGTAATTGTTTGGGGAACCAGGAATTGGAGTGTAGGGCATTTGAAGATTAAGAAGTAGGAAATAAAGTGATAGAGAGAAGTCAGAGGGTTTCAAGAATGGCAGGCCGAGGAATTTGGACATTATCCTTTGGCTATGGGAGCCATTGAAGGTAGTTGAGCGTGAGGGGGATGTGTCTGGTGCTGAACTTTGGGAAGACAATTGCGACTGCCTGGATGTGGGAGACTGGGGGGGGAAGGAGCTAAATATTTTGCTGTTGTTTGAGTATCTGGAATAACCTCTTAGCAGCTGTTGGCAACCCAGGAAGAATATTGCTAGAGGGAGTGAGCTTTGTGAACCTTTGCCCAAGACAACGAATCTCTTGAAGTCAGGGGAGGCTTCACTGTCTGTGGGAACTACATAGGGGCATTTGAGGTCTCTAGACCAGGCAGAGGGCTGAGCTGATGAGGTTGGGAAGTCCTGCCAGGATTTATTATAACTTAGATAAGGTAAAATACAGGGGCTTTGTGAGTCGCAAACA